CAGAATTTCAGTTTTGCAGGATGAAAGAGTAAAGAAGAAGTGATAGTGGTGATGGTTGCACAACAATGTGAATATTTAATGACAATAAACTATACACTTAAAAACAGTTAAAATGATAAATTTTATGTCAGGTGTTTTTGTTTTGTTAATCCTCACCCAAGGATATTTTTCCATTGATTTTTTAGAAAGAGTGGAAGGGAGGGAGGGGGAGAGAGAGAAACATCGATGTGAGATTGGTTGCCTCCTACACCATAAGAAAAAGGAAGAAGATTTTGATACATGTTACAGTATGGATGATCCCGGGTGGGATCAAACCTGCAGTGCAGGTATGTGCTCTGACTGGGCATTGAACCCAAGACCCCTCTCTCTGAGGGCTGACACTCTAATCACAGCCAAACCGGCCAGGGCAGGTGTATTTTAATTTTAAAGAATTGTAATAAGCAATATGCAATTAATACTCAAAAATGTAGTACTCAAGTACTACATTATATATCAAATTTATTTATTTATTTTATTTTTTATCCTTACCTGAGGACATTTTTGCATTTATCTTCAGATAGAGTGGGAGGGAGAGAAGTGGGAAGAGAGAGAAACATCGATGTGAGAGAGACACATCGACTGATTGCCACCCACACGACCCCAACCGGGGCTGGGGACAAACTGCAACCGAGGTACATGCCCCTAGCGGGAACTGAACCCAGGATTCTCTGGTCCATGGGCTGACGCTCTCTCTGACTGCTGAGCCAAACTGACTAGGGCAAATTTATTTATTTTATTTTTATTGTTGACAGTATTACAGATGTCTCCCATTTTTCTCCCTTTATGCCCCCCTTCACCCAACCCCTACCCCACCCCAGGTCTTCCGCATACTATTGTCTGTGTTCATGGGTTATGCATATACAGTGGGCCCTCGTTTATTGCGGTTAATGTTCCAGACTCTACCGCAATAAATGAATTTCCCTGAAGTAGGGTTCTTTATATCTAAATCTAATATTTTTGCAGTTAGAGCATAGAAAACCTGTTTGCCACCTTTTAAATACATTTTAAACATTATTAGAGCCCTCTAGACATGAAATAACACACTTTAGTCACCATTACACTCGTATTACCCAATATATTAGACAAAATAAGAGAAAATAAGACATATTAGACATTACAAATATCATATTATTTTTGTACATTTAATTACACATACACAGTTCTTACACACAACCACTAACCTATGAAAACAGTGCAACTTGTTTGATGATGAAGTGATGAAGATGAAGAGATGTGCTGCACAGCAAAGAAGAGCAAAGTTACTGCTCCTCTGAAGGCACAACCTCAGTAGGAGAGTCTTCAGGTGGTGCAGTATCTTCAGCAGGTGTGTCGTTGTCATCTTCTTCCACTGAAGGGGCACTAGGAGTAGGCAGTGGGTGTCTGGGTGCGCGGCTGAAGAACATTGTGATAGGCGGTTGCTGGTGCTGTCTTTTCATGTGTGAGGAGGCTTTTGTAGGGTTCTGTCGCTCCATCATGTGCATTCCGGAACCACAATGCATGCATCATTTGTGGGTCCCATTCGCCAATCATGTCCTGTGCTATCTTAATAGTTCTCACGACTTGCGAGAGACGCTCAAGTGCAAGGCCAACTTCCTCCTCCTGATCCCCAGGAACCTTGGCTGCTCTTCCTCCTCCTCACTCGCAGACTTAGTCATCTCCACCAGATCCTCGTCAGTCAAGGGATCCGAATGTGTCTCCAGCAGCTCATCCACGCCATCATGGGTCATATCTGTGAAACCTTCTCTTCCCAGCATCCGGGCCAGCCTGACTGCCTTATCCACTGCCAAGTTGCTTATATCCGCTGGGGTGAATCCTCTGTAGTCGTGGACAGTTTCAGGCCACAACATCTTCCAGCTGGCCATCACGGTCTCCGTTTTTATGTCCTTCAATGCAGCCTGGATGGTCTTCAGACAGGTCGCAATGGTATATTGCCACCAGTACTCCTTCAGCAAGAAGTTCTCAAAGTCCATGCCTTGGATGAGGTGCTGCAGGGTGTTTCATATGTAGAGGACCTTGAACACACAGGGGCTGGATCAGCAAAGTGGTGTTGGGAGGAAGGAACTCGATCCGCACACCGTCGTAGGATAGGTCTTGCACATGACCTCCAGCATTGTCTGTGAGGAGGACGTTAAACTCGAGTCCCTTCTCTGTGAGATACAGCTTGACTTGGGGGATGAAGCACTCATGGAACCAGTCCGATGACAGGTGCTTCGTGATCCAGCCCTTGTCGTTGTGCATCCAGTACACTGGCAGCAGGTTCTTGTTTTTATTCTTCAGGGCCCTAGGGTTCTTGGCCTTGTAGATAAGAGCAGGCTTGAGCAAAAATCCCTCAGCATTTCCACACATAACGATAGTCACGCGATCCTTATACGCCTTGAAGCCACGGACCTTGGCCTCATCCTTGAAAATGAATGTCCGGGAAGGCATTCTTTTCCAGAACAGTCCTGTTTCATCCATATTGAACACCTGTTCTGGATGATGCTCACCCTCCTCAAGGATCTTCTGGAACGTGTTGTTCACGTAGTCCTCTGCTGCAGGCTGGTCAGCAGAGGCAGCTTCTCCATGAAGAATGACACTCTTCAGATGATACCTCTTCTGCAACTTCTCGAACCAACGCTTGCTCGCCGTGAAATCCATGAACGTTGCAGAAGAGGGTCCTGGTTGAAGTTCATCGCCGTAAAGCGCTGATAGAGCTGCCTTGCCTTCTCCCGGATGACCAGCGAATCCAACAGAATGTTTTTCTTGTGGCTGTCGCTGATCCAAACGGCCAGGGCAGACTCTGTTTTCACTATGAACTTATTATGATTTGTCACGACGCGCTTTGCCTCCTTGTTGAAAGAGACAGTAGCTGTTGCACGGATGTTCTTTTCATCTTTACGGATGGAGCAAACGGTAGACTCATTCAAGTCGTAATGGTGGGCAACCTCTGTGATTTTCTTGCCATCTTTGATCATATCCAAGAGTTTCACCTGCTCCTGGATGGTAAGCATCTTCCTCCAGCACTTAGTTTCATAGTCAGAAGGCTTAGAAGAAGCAGCACGTTTAGGAGTCATCGTGGGGCTTAGATAAAAATTCTCAGAAATCGCAAACACTTACAAGAGCAAAGATGCTTCCAATGCATGGCGATGTAGAAGCGTGTATGAGAGAAACAAACTTGCATGAGGCTAAGCCAATCAGTGGCCAGGAGAGGAAGAAGATGGGATAGGCAATCAGTGAAGAGCACACTCTGATTAGCTTGGCTTCACCACACCTGGTTTTTTTGAAAAACGTTATTGCCCACACAAGGAGTGGTCGAGCTGTTGCACCTGGCATTGAAGGATTTGCAGGGGTGCTCGAATACATAGCCTACGGTCCATATGTACAGCAATGTTAACTTTAATTGTAATGCAGGGGTATATAATTGACTCAGACAACTGAGCACGTGCTGTATCATTTTCACTGTCTTTATCAACTTTTTAATGAATATATTTGAAAAACCGCGATACAGTGAAACCGCGATAGAGTGAAGCTGCGAAAGTCAAAGCGTGAAGTGGCGAGGGAGGACTGTATGCACATATGTTGTTTGGTTAATCTCTTCTTGTCCCTCCCAACCCCCACTGAGATGTGTCATTTTGTTCCATGTATCCATACCTCTGGCTCTATTTTGTTACATTATATACCAAATTTTAAGACACTTTAAAATTTGTTGCCAATTATAACTTGTGTACATCTCTCTGGTTTCCTTCTAAAGTGTAAAACTCATTCTTTTCTCTTTGGAGAGTTTCCTGGGATTGCAAGGCCAGCAGTTAAAGACAAAAACAAAACAATCCCTTTGTCCTTCCCCTTAGGACTACTGTTTCCATTCATTATAGCCCATTTATTTTTATTTAAAAATTTTTTAATTGTTGATTTTTAGAGAGAGAGAGAGAGAACATCAATTGGTTGCCTCCAGCATGCCCCCTGACTGGGGATTTGGCCCACTATGTGGGCATGTGCCACAACCAGTAATGAACCGCGACCTCTTGGTGCATGGGTGGACGCCCAACCACTGAACCACACCAACGGGGCCATTATAGCCCATTTAAAATCTTATGCTCAGCCCTGCCCGGTTTGGCTCAGCAGCTAGAGTGTGAGCTGCTGACCTGAGAGACCTGGTTCCGTTCCCCTAAGGGCATGTACCTCAGTTGCAGTTTGACTCCTGCCCCGGTTGGAGTCATGTGGGTGGCAACCAATCGATGTGTGTCTCTCTCACATGGATGTTTCTCTCTCTCATCCTCCCTCTCTCCCTCCCGCGCCATCTGAAGATAAATGCAAAAATGTCCTCTGGTGAGGATAAAATATATATATATATATATATATATATATATATATATATATATATATATATATAATGCTCAAAACAGATTTCTGGGTTTATTGCAAATGTTACACATTCAAAGTTATAAAATAAATCAAGATTTAGAAAATTCACTTTGTATCTGTTTTATATATTTGGTTTCCAAATAGGTTATCATTCGCTGCAAAGTTCTGCGGATGAAAATCAAAGCCAACCCACAGCAGCTGGCCCCGCCCACACCAGCCGGCCCCGCCCTTTCGGCGGACCCATCAGGGGCGCGTCCGGGGAGAACGCAGGGCTGCTGGCCGAGCGAGTCGATGAGCACTAGCTAGAGGCCCAGCTTCTGAAGCAGCTCTGGGCGGTTCGCGCCAGGGCTGAGCACCTAGTCCCGCCCGCCGGGTGGGCGTCTGTCTTCTTGGAGAGTCCGGCGGGGACCGCGGACGTGAGTGTCGCTGAGCTGGTGCGGCGGGCGGAGCCGCGGGGTCGGTTCCGGCGGGTCCCGCGGTCCGGGGCTGGGGCCGCGCTCCCGGCCTGCGGGGACTTGGGAGCGCGGGCGTAGCCGAGGCGGGCGAGTCGCCTGCGCCCTGGCCTCCCGGCCGGCGGGCTGCCTTATCTCCGGTTGCTGTTGCGTTTCCCGGTTCAAAGGGCGGCCCAGGAGAGCGAGCCGAGCGAGTGCGAAGCCGACCGGAACGGACGTTAAATTTTGTTGGCCTGGGTTATGTCTGAAAGCTTGACGCATCGTTTGAACAAGTACCGTTCGCAGAAGAGCCCGCATTCGGTGGGGTTAATTTTGAAAAAACTCCATATCTAATTTGAATGTAACAAGTTAGAGGCATGTTTCTGAGTGGGTGGTGAAGATCCAGTCAGGTTTTCTGTAGGACTGGTGATGCAAGTGTGGTCCCCGGACCTCTTCACCGTCGTCACTTCGCCCGGGAGCTTGCGAGACCGCACACCCTCCAGGTGGAGAGCCTGGCCGCAGGAGACTGCGCACGCGCACGAACTCCAAACCCCGACTTCTAGGCTGTGCTAGGTTCATACGGAACTTGACTCTACTCTCCCAATTAGAATGGTCTTTCTCATGAAACGTGTAAATTCACTGAGATCAGATACTTTTCTTCCAATTTCCACCGAGTAGCTGGCAGTCTCTTTGGAGATCTCGGTCTTTCTGGGTAGGTCTCCAGCCTAGTAGCGGAGGTCCCAAGCCACTCTGGGTGTTTCTTGCCGTGTAGACATGTGGATCCAGCAGTGTCTGCTCTCCACCTTCTCTGCATAGCCCCTCACGGCCACTAGCGTCTTGCCCCGCGAGGGCCAGGTTAGGTAGGACCAGTCTGGGCTCTATCACTTACTAGCTGAGTGGCCTTGGGCGCCTGCCTTGTGTTCCTAATCTATAAGATGAAGATAACAATAGTATTACCTCTAAGAGTTTTTTGTGAGGATTAAAAGAATGAATGAATGGCCCTGGCCGGTTTGGCTCAGCGGTTAGAGCGTCAGCCTGCGGTCTGGAGAGACCCGGGTTCGGTTCCCGCTAAGGGCATGTACTTCGGTTGCAGTTTGTCCCCGGCCCTGGTTGGTCGTGCGGGTGGCAGCCACTTGATGTGTCCCTTCACATCGATGTTTCTGTCTCTCTCTCCCTTCCTCTCTATCCCTCCCACTCTATCTGTACAAAAAAATGGAAAAATATCCTCGGGTGAGGATAAAAAGAAAGAAAAAAAAAAAGAATGAATGAATGCATGTAGCAGTGTTTGGCTCGTCAGAGACTAGTTACTATTATTATATATATTATAATGCAGATGAAAAAAATGATAGGAACTTTGGGAGAGAGACTATTACTAACAAATAGTAGACACAGGTGCCACCATTAAGCTAAACAAACACAGGATGGTTAGTTACTTGTCCCTACCACTTCTCAGAGTGTGGTCTGTGGGCCAGCATCTCTGCCATTACTAGGAGCTTTTTAGAAATGCAGAATCTCAGGCCTACCTCAGACTCAATCAGAATCCGTTTTTAACAAGGGCCCCAGCAGGTTTAGTTAGATGCAGCTTTGTTTAGAGGAAGTGTGAAATCAGTTGTTAGCTTTCTCAAGGAGTTCCAGCCTGAAATCAGTGACCACAGGGATTTAGCATTTGGTAGGAGGGCTGGAATTTGCAGCTGACTCCACTAATGGGCCTTACTTCTTGGTATTTCTTGTTTGTGTTTTGCTAATCCTAGCCCTGGATAAAGCTCTCCATCTTCTGCTCATTATTGAGAAAGGGACATATATGGTTGCCAATAGCATGACTTTGTAGGGGTCGTAGTCAAAACTCAGCTGTTTGACAGGCTTTTGAGTCATGACCCCTGGTATAATGTCCCCTAAGGTACTGTTTCCCCAAATCTCCCACTTAGTGGTTTTCTAGTGGCTGTTTCACCATCCTCTTGATGCCATATTACAATGTGAACTCTGTCAGCTGCTCTTCTTAGTGCATTACAAGTTTTATTTGTTCATTTATTTTTCTGTTAATCCTCACTTGAGGATATTTTCCATTGATTTTTAGATGGATTGGGGGGGGCGGAGAGAGAGAGAGAGAGAGAGAGATCAGTGTTAGAGATACACATAGATTGGTTGCCTCTCTAAGGACCCTAACCAGGGCCCCAACCTGCAACCCCAGTATGTGCCCTTGAGTAGGAATCGAACCTGCGACCCTTCGGTCCACAGGCCGACGCTATAACTGCTGAGCCAAACTAGCCAGGGCTACAACCTTTGTTGCCATCCCTTCAACATTTGTTTCTATTTATGAAGTAGTTTAAAACCTTGTTGCCTGGGCAAAGCCTTTCCTGCTGCCTTGATTTCATACCCTGCCATCTTTTCAGAGCCTCTGCACAGTTCAGACACTCGCTTTGCCATCTATTTAGCTTTTTTTTCAAAGGTAACTTTAAAAAAAAAATCCTCACCCAAGGATATTTTTCCATTTATCTTTAAATGGGGTGGGGGGGCAGGGGGAGAGAGAGAAACATCCTCCTCAACTGGTTGCTTCCTGCATGACCCCAACCAGGGCTTGAACCAAACGTGCCCTTGACCAGAATCGAACCTGTAACTCTTCAGTCCGCGGGCCGACTCTAACCGCTGAGCCAAACCAGCCAGGGCTCTATTTAGTTTTTAACTGTTTAAAAGACTTGCGGGACTAGTTTCCAGGTATTCCTGTCATTTAAGATTGTGTCCAATCCAGTATGTACTTAATAAGTGGTGACAAATTAGTGCTGAACTGTCCCCCAAAACTGTATTCTCATTCTGAGTTTCTTTTCAAGTTAATGATATCCTGTTACTGTTGGTGGTGGGCCTTGAAATCCTGGAGTCTAGGCTGCCACCAAGCTTTTCTTTTCCTTCTCCATTCACTCAGTTGCTGAGATCTGTAGAATTCATCATCAAAATGTGTCACATGTGTTCTTCCTGTTCTCATTGCCAGCACTCTTTCAGACCAACATTGTTTTTCTGCTTCAGTCTCCTCTTGGACTCTCTGCATCCAGTTTTTCCACATTCTGTACACCTCGTGCTGGCTTCATCTTCCAACATGTAGCTCCCATCAATCTTCACAACAGATGAAGTAAGTCAAGTTTTTCACTTTGGCAGTGTCCTACCTCTCCATCACCCTGTTCATCCTCCCGCCGCATCCATTTACTGAATGTCTTTCATGAGCCAGCCACTGGGTAGTGTTGGGCTTGGAATAATGTTGGGGAACATAATGAAGAGGTCATTGGGAAGGTGAATTCAGATTTCAGTGAGATGTCACCTTTCCCCTAAAAGTTCACATTATAGAGCAGCGGTTCTCTACCTTCACTATATATTGGAATCACTTGGGGAGCTTTAAAAATGCCAGTGCTGCCCTGGCCAGTTTGGCTCAGTGATTAGAGCATCAGCCTGTGGTCCAGAGAGACCCGGCTTCGGTTCTCTCGGTTACAGTTTGTCCTCGACCCTGGTTGGGTCGTGCAGGTGGTAACCACTCGATGTGTCCCTTTCACATCCATGTTTTTCTCTCTCTCTCCCTCCCTCCCTCCCACTCAATATGAACAAAAAATGGAAAAATGTCCTCGGGTGAGGATAAAAAAAAAAAAAATCCCAGTGTTGTCCTAGCCAGTATGACCCAGCAGTTAGATTGTTGGCCTTTAGACCGAAGAGTACAGGTTCAATTCTGGTCAAGGACACATGCCTGGGTTGCAGGTGCGATTCCCAGCCCTGGTCAGGTTTGTGTGGTAGGCAGCCAGTTGATATAGCGCTCTCACATTGATGTCTCTCCCCCTCCCCCCTCTTTCTCCGTCCCCTATTCTCCCTCCCCTATTCTCCCTCCCTCCTCTCCCTCCCTTCCTCTCCCTCTCCCCTCTCCCCCCCTCTCCTCCCCTTCCCCTCTCTCTTCCTCTCCCTCCCTCCCTGTCCCTTCTTCCCTTCCACTCTGTCAAAAAATCAATGGAAAAATGTCTTTGGGTGAGGATTAGAAAAAAATTCCAGTGCTGGGGTCCCACCCCTAAGGATTCTGATTTAATTGGCTGGGATATAGCCAGAAGGGTAAGAATTTTAGAAACTCTGCAGGTGATTATTCTACACAGCCAAGCTTGAGAGCCACTGTGTTCATTGAAGAGATAGACCAGCAAGGGGCTGATTTCACTGTATGTTGTTCCAGAAGAATAAACAGCACACTGGGAGTGCAGAGAAAGTGTGTAGTTTAGCTTAGAGTTACTTTTATTCTTACAACTACACTAAGCCATTGATGGGCAGGACCCAGGGCTTTCTGGTCTTGGGATTCCCTTACCTGATCCTTATCCGTAATAGGTATAAGACAGGCTGTTCAACAGAAGTTGCTGGGAATCTTCTACATCTACACTGTCCAGCATGGTAGGCACTAGCCACATGTGACTATTGAGAAGTTGAGGGGTTGCATAGTGAATGAGGAACTGAATGTTTTGTTTTCATTAATTTTAATTAATTTAAATATAAAGAGTCGCATGGATCTAGTGGTTACAATATTGGACATTTTTTTTTTTTTTTTTTTTTAATCCTCACCCGAGGACATTTTTGCATTTTTTGTTCAGACAGAGTGGGAGGGAGAGAGAGGAAGAGAGAGAGAGAAACATCGATGTGAAGGGACACATCGAGTGGTTGCCACCCGCATGACCAACCAGGGCCGGGGACACACTGCAACCGAAGTACGCGCCCTTAGCGGGAACCGAACCCGGGTCTCTCTGTACCGCAGGCCGATGCTCTAACCGCTGAGCCAAACCGGCCAGGGCTTGGACATTTTTTAATAGAGGAGGTAGTTAAGTGTTGAAACAATTTGACATTGTTTATATAGAGGCTTAGATGTAGCAGGTTCTGTTTTTCTCAGTTATTTGAGAATACAATCATCTCATTTGAATCTTAATTTTTAAAATAAAAAAAAACTTCATTGTAATTAACATACAATATTATATATCAGGTGTACAACATAGTGATTAGACATTTATATAACTTATGAAGTGATCATCCAGATAAGTCTAGATAAACCATCTGGCACCATACATAGTTATTACAATATTATTAACTACATTCCCTATGCTGTACTTTATATCCCTGTGACTGTTTTTACAACTGGCAATTTGTACATCTTTTTGTTTGTTTGTTTTAATCCTCACCTGAGGATATTTTTCCATTTTTTTGTACAGATAGAGTGGGAGTGAGTGAGAGGAAGGGAGAGAGAGAGAGAAACATCGACGTGAAGGGACACATCGAGTGGCTGCCACCCACACGACCAACCAGGGCCGGGGACAAACTGC